TTGGTAACAAAATGATAAATTAAATATATCAAAAAAAGAGTAAATTGAAATTATAAATATATATTGTGTGGATACATTATATTAAATTTAATTATTTTAATATATAAAATTAACATTATCTTTTTTAACAAAGTTAAACTAAATTTAAATTTTAAACATTCTTCTACGGAAACCCCCCCCCAACCCTATTAGGAAATGATTTATTTGAATTTAATAATTTTACAATTGGCATCATCAAAAACCTTTCACTTCATTTTATTTTATTTGTAAATTTTGTTAAATTTAATAAATCAAATATAAAAAATTGACGTTATCTAGTTATAATTAAATTGGAGTAATATTTTGTTTTAAAAAAATAATATTGACATATATTATACCAAATATAAAAAGCAGGTGGCGTTACTTCTACTTCAAATTTCCACAAATTCCTAACGCAAGGTATCGACACCTAACCTATGTCGAGTTTTACAATCCACTCTGCAATTTCTTCACCGATAAACTAGTAAATAGAGTCCTTAATCTTTTACTTTATGAATACTTTGATCCAAAAACTTTTAAGTTATTCAATTTTTGCTTAGGATTTTAATTTTTCTTGTAATTAAACTTTTAAAATATTTTAAGTCCTTAAACTTAAGTTATTATGCAATCAAGTCTTTTCTTCAAAAAATAATTATATGCTTAAAATATAAATTTCAAAAAAATTTTAGTTATTAAAATATAATATGGATGAAATTTATTATTAATATTTAAAATCTACCACAATTATGATGAGTTATAATAATAACTTTCATAATCAGAAACCTATATTTTATATGTGACCATCTTTTTAGAGATGATTTATTTCATCATTATTGAACATGTAGTCATTTGTGACCAATCCTTAAAATGTGTCACAATTGTGATAAGTTATAATGATGAATTTTTTATTAAAAGTTATATTTTTTTGTGACCTTGTGACAGTGATGAAATATTTTTTTAGGGATAAATTTTTTTATCATCATTAAGCATGTGTGCATATGTGACTAATTTTTAAAATTTATCAGAATTATAGTGAAAATTTCAAAATTTATCACAACATTTTGTCACTAAAAATCTTTTTTTCTTGTAATGAAATAATTCCAAAATGGGTTTGTCTTAGGACACATGTTAAGGGTGCATTTATTTTACCTTTTCATCATAAATTTATTTTAAAAAAATAAAAGTCAACTTTTAATTCATCAACTATTCAATTAAATTCAATTAACATTAAAATTAATATCTATTTTTACATTTTTTAATATATATTTATAATAAAAGGGCACAATAAATGCACCATTATCCTGTGATAGAAAAACCCTTCCAAAATAATTCCAAAATGGATTTGTCGTAGGGCA